CCCTCTCGCAATTAGATTTCCGGCTTTTTTCAAAATAGTTGCACATGGCAGAACGGCAGCGCCAGCGGGCCGCCCGCCTTGATGTACGGATCCACAAACAATGGCGCTGTGAGCGCTAGCCATGCCATGGCAAGCAGCCAGCCGCCAACGGCTCGCGGGGTCCTCATCGTAGCGGTCCGAGGAGAGGGTAACAGGAGCGCCTCGAGCAAACATCCAACCGCCTGAGCCGCGAAAAACGCCGTCGTAAGCAGAGAGGTCATGCCAAATGAGACATGGTTCACGTGGTCGTGAAAGAGTCCGCTGAGTAAGAAGATGGCGAGGACGTCTGGCACGCTAGCGCGGGTTCTCGCCGGACGCGGTGGTGGTAAAGATGATGCCACAGGCGGCGATGACGTGGATGTCTGAGGACACTTCATAACGTCCTTCTCGTCCTCGTCCGTAGAAGGCACCCGAACAGCATTTTCCAGCGCCTCCTGGAACGCCGAATTCCACTTCCCTCTCCACACGCTGCGCAGCGAGGTGGCCATAAACGGGTTGTTGAACATGTCTTTCATTCGTATGCCCAGCATCGGTTCGGCGAGGCCGACAATCAGGTCGGCGATGCAGCCCATCCATAGGTAGAGCGCGACACCCATAGCAGCTGCGACGGCGTGGCGTTGCAGGTCGAAAACCTCGGTGGTGGCCCAAATATGTGTGATATCGAGGTGGGCGAGAACGGAAGAGAGGACTGTGAAAGCGATGCCTTTTAGCAGGGACCTGTAAGGGAGGGAAAGCATTGGCTTAAAACTTCGTCCTCTCATCTCTGTATACATGTCGAGCACCCACCTAGCCAGTCTTCGGTTCCTCCTTTCCGCAACCTCCTCCTGTGGTCCAACAGCAGGGTCCGCCTTGTCCACAAAGGTCATCTCATACGCAAAAAACTGCTTGAATCCCGCACGGGCCAGCCGGCGCGCAAACGCCGGACGGCGGGCGAGCTCTACAGCACGCAGGGCATGTAGCCATGGGATGGTAATAAACAGCAGTCGCTCTGGTTGCCGAGGGTGTGGGAAGAATAGCGGCTGCGCAAGATACACGGCGGCGACTAAAATGAGGAGGACATTGTTGTAGCGGCGGCGAGTGAGCAGAATGACCCAGGATGTGCGGCACAGGGCAAGGAGAAAGACGCCGTTGAGAGCGGCGAGGGCGACTGGCGAGAGCATTGCGGATGTGGACGTCGGCGGGGTTTGCGCAAAAGCAGCCGCCACGAAAAATTGTGTGAGTCATCGCGTGCATGCAGTCCAAAACCCGTCTGCTTCGTCTTTTTTTTTTTCTAGTCCATCGTTAAAAGAGGATAGCCGTAGCCGTATTCTTCTATTTAGCGGTCCAGGTACGCCAGGGGAGCCCGTCCTCTTTTCCCGCCAACGACACTTACCGCAATACACTTGACTCCGTCCGTCAAGGTCTGCTGTATAGGGACGGAGTCGTCGTACTCAAGGGAAAGCTTGTCAGTTTTGCTTGCCACATATCGCGGTTTGCGCTCGCGCTGCTCATCATTACGCAGGAGATGCGCAAAGGCGCAGATGGCACAGAAACGGATGATGTGGAGTAGCCGCAAGGAGGGTGGAGGATGAGGGAAGGTTGTGTCGCGGTATTTGCATCCTTGTACGATGGGGGTGCGATGGTGTCGCTCCAAACTGGAGGAGCGGTGTCATTTTCATTTGCAAAGATTGGGCTATTTAGAAGCACAAATGGCGCACTTTCCGCCGGAGTACTTGTTCGTCCATTGCCTGCATCTTCTATAGCGACTTTGTTTCAAGTCAGTCACTTTTTTGGCCACTGCCTCAGTGCGTTGGAGTCAGCTGGCACGAGGTCCATCCAAACCGCATGGACTTTCCGCTCAAGCGCAATGTTATCGACGGGAGTCTTCCTGCGGGGCTAACCCCAAATATCAGTCCAGATGAAGGCGGCAATGATCAGGTGAAAGACGGGCGGCGATATAATCGAAAGCTTTGAAAGGATTTTGGCTTTAGTATCACCTGTTCCGGTTGGGCGGAACGAAACCCGAGAAAGAAAATGCGGCGGGGGTCTGCACGCGATGCGAAAGGAAAACCGCCACGCATTTTGCGCAGACCCGACGTAGACACGGCATGCTGTAGGTGGATGAGGAGTTCTGCGGGGAGTTACATTAGAGCAGAACAATCGCCACGTGCCGTCGCCGAGACTGTGCAGCCACGTTTTCTGACAGCGCGCGTCACGTGATGCGGGGATGATCCCAACACGCTCTGTTTCGAGACACAGGAGTGAGTCTAAACCACGTCGACTTCGTTTTTCGACAGTTTGGGGGGCCTTACGTCGTTTGCTGCGTTTTTTCTCGCCCGGGTGCTCTATCGCCCACTCTGCAGGCTGCACAGGCCCGCAATACACGCATGCGGGCAGAGTCCCGGTTGTCGGGAACCAGCAAAAGAAAAAAAGAAAAGCCCACTAACAATCCGTCACCCCACCGCAGGCTGAGGCACAAGAACACTAACGAGCCGAGCGAAAATGCTCAAGGTCTGAACCAGTCATCGACGCGTGAGACATCTTTGTAGAACCAAAGCCTTTGGTCAAGAGTCCTCGGCCGCTGACGGTAGACCAAATGAACCAATGGTGTGGAGGATGCAAAAGTTTCGAAACTTCCGGCGGAACACAGAGTGCTGAGTGGATTCTGTGTGAGCATATGCGTATTTTTCTCGTGCGTGCAGTACCCAATGCTGCTGTCCTGCTATCCGATTTACCCGCCCGACAAGGCCAATACCACCTCGCCGACCGCTATAAAACGACGCGGAAGTTGCCTACCCTACTCTTCTTCGTTACCCTCGTCTCCATTTCCAGTAACCTTTCCCTCTCTTCTTTCTGTCCTACTCACACCCATTAATCAATGCACGTCCGCAGCGCTCTTCTCTCGCTTTCGCTTCTCGCAGTTCCGGCATTTGGCCAGCAAGCCGGCACTCTTCAGCCTGAGGTTCATCCCTCCCTGCAAGTCTCTCGCTGCACCAAGACGGGCGGGTGTCAGGTTGCCCAGCAGTCTGTCGTATTGGACGCACAATGGAGATGGCTCCACCAATCTTCCTCATCCACTAATTGCTACACGGGAAACACCTGGAACCCGGCGTTTTGCACCGAAGGAGAAACCTGTGCAAAGAATTGCGCGCTGGAAGGCAATAGCATCTCTCAATACGAAAACACGTACGGCATAACGACTCCGGCTCCTGACGCGCTGAACCTCCGCTTTGTGACCCCTGGTCAATACGGCACCAATGTCGGCTCGCGCCTTTTCTTGCTCGATGCTTCCGGCCAGCGCTACGAGCAGTTCCGTCTCAAAAACCGCGAATTTACATTTACCACCGATGTGAGCAATCTTGATTGCGGATTGAATGGTGCGCTCTACTTTGTCGGTATGGACGCGGCTGGAGGCAAGGGCGTCGGCTCCAACAATGCTGGCGCCGCGCTGGGAACGGGCTACGCTGACGCCCAGTGCCCGCACGACATCAAGTTTATCGGAGGAGTTGCGAACCTTGGCGGCTGGACCGGCACGGGCGCAAACACTGGCAGCGGCTCCAAGGGCTCATGCGCGCCCGAACTCGATTTGTGGGAAGCGAATCGGATTTCAAGCGCCTTTACCGCGCACCCCTGCTCCTCCACCGGTCCTACCGTTTGCGCCGATGCGAAAACCTGCGGTGATGGAGCCGACCGTCAAAACGGCGTGTGCGACAAGGATGGCCTCGACTGGAACTCGTTCCGCATGGGCGACGAGACTTTCTACGGACCCGGCAAGAAGGTCGATACCACCAAACCGATTACAGTTGTCACTCAATTCCTGACAAGTGACGGTACGGACGCTGGCGACCTTAAGGAGATCCGCCGCATCTACATTCAAGACGGCAAGATCATTCCCAACTCGCGATTCGGCAAGTACGACTCGATCACCGACGAGATGGGCGCCGTGCAAAAGAAGCTGTTTGCCGACCCCAACACCTTCGCGGTCAAGGGCGGGCTCAAGGCCATGGGCAAGGCAATGGACCGCGGCATGACCCTCGCGATGTCCCTGTGGGACGACACGGCGGCGGATATGCTCTGGCTCGACTCGACGTACCCTGTCGGCAAGACTGGACCGGGTGCTGCCCGCGGCAGCTGCGCAACCACCTCGGGCAAACCAGCCGATGTAGAGGCTCAACAGCCCAACGCCTCGGTCAAGTTCTCCAGCATCAAGTGGGGCGAAATCGGCTCTACCTTCGCCGGAGCGGCCGCCGCACCCGCACCTGCACCTACCGCCGCGCCCCAGCCCAAACCTACCAAAGCGCCGCCCGCGCCCAAGCCCAAGACGACCTCAACCCGCGTCAAGGGCCACCACTCTACCGGCGGCCACCACACCGCGCCGACTCCCGCGCCTGCCAACCCGGCTCCCGCGCACCCTGCGCCCGCCCCGACGGCCGGCCTTGCTCCCAAGTGGGGCCAGTGCGGCGGACAGGGCTGGACGGGCCCTACGCGCTGCGTCGCCGGCTCTACTTGCACGGTCAACAACCTGTACTACTCTCAGTGCCTGTAAAATCACACTCTAGAAGGAAGGAGGAAGGCTTTTCCTCCCCCGCTTGACATAGATAGATAGACACATCATTATACATAGACTTTTCTCGCCTCGAATAAATACACGACTTTCCATCATCCGCAAACAATGCCTGGGTGTCTTTCCAGCGGTCGCCGACATGTAGGCCCCATGCCATATGTCCACCATACGAACGTACGTCCGTGCTTCGCATTGACCGTACCAACCCTTCCGCACGACATTTTTTGCCCTCTCTACGCACCACGGTCGACTCAAACTCCACTCGGCTATGTAATTTCACGCGATGTTGACGTTTTCGATCTTCCCACCGCTGTGCTTTACGCCTCACACTCATACACACACACACAGTCCAGAGAACCCAATCTCTTCCTCCATGCAAAAAAGGAAGCCCAGGGACCATCTCAGACTCAGAAATCACAGCCCGACGTGGGGGTCGAACCCACAACCTTGAGATTAAGAGTCTCACGCTCTGCCGATTGAGCTAGCCGGGCCTTGTTGTCTGGATGTTTGCATGTTTGCATCAAGTGTTTGCGTTGTGTTTGACTTATTTTTCTTCTCTTTTGCGCGGCTGTCAGAGTGGCTGTGCATTTCATTTTATGAGTTCAGATTTCGTGAGCCAACCCTTCCCGGCAGCGAGCATCACCCTGTAAAGCGCTCGACATGGCAGTGCAGAGTTTTGGATTAAGTTTGGCGGCATGTAGGATGTATATATGATAAGACAGCGCGGAAGTTTGTCGACGCAATTCTATTTTCCGAATGGCCCAAAGCTCACATTGAGCTAACTGCGTCTCAACCTTACGCAGGCATAAATGTTTTTTGCGGTTTGATGGAAGACGACTTCGCGGTGTTAGCAAGAAACTATGCGAAGCGCTGGGCTTTGGGCCGGCCACTAACCCTGATACCAAATTTGCCCGCCGCCGCAGATGTGACCCCATCGGTATGGAGGAGCACCGGCTTATGGTGCATTATGGGGACAAGATGCCAGCCGACAAACGATCAAGACAGCCCTCCACCGTGCTGTTCTTGCGCAGATTCTTTGCCATCTGGCAGGGCTGCGGCCTTCATCGATTAGCCTCGCAAGTGGCTATACGGCACGGAGTGCCGAGATGCTGAGCAATCAGCCGGAGCACGTCAGCGAGGAGGGTTTTAAGAAGGCAGTGGCGGGTTGGCTGTTGATGCGGTGAAGCTGCAGATTGTTGAAGAACCGGTTCGCCACATTGGTGGCGCTCTCACAATCAAATTCATGAAGGGAGACGAACGCGGACCCGACGTTCGAAATGGGGATCACCTTGCCCTTCTGAGTTGGAACAGCAGTTGATGGCTGGCAACCGTCTCTTTGTCTCGTTTGCCCTCCGTGACCTCTTTGTGCTGCCTTGGAGGGATGCGCTTACCATGAATGACATGCGCACCAAAACTGAGGCCGCGGAATGGCCCATCATTTGCCAGAGTGCGGCAGACGGATCCTTCCTGCCATCGAAACATGCACCAGCGAATGCATTGAACAATGGCATGAAGGAACTGGCGCGACTTGCGGCGCTCGACGACCGGTACATCTCCCTCAAGTCCAAGAGGGAAGGGCTTTGCGCAGGCAGCCCGCAGTGCTGTCGGACTACAGGAGACTCAGCGACTTCTGAATCACCGTGCTGGCAGCAATGCGACGGCTCGGTACATTGGTGCCGATATCAGCACCACAGACACTGCTGCTGTCTGGCTTGGGAACCAGGCAACTGTAACAAAGTCCCTGAATTCGCCATTCGCGCGCAGAGCCAGCAAGGCCGTGGTTTCGGCGATGGCGGAGGACTACAGAGAGTGCTTTGACAATGATGAAAAGCTCCAAGACCTATTGAATGCTGACAGGTAAAGTTCGCCGGGTTACTTGATTGAGGGGTTGGTGAACCGCGGACCAATGTGTGCCGCATCCGTCGACGATAGTCCAAACAAAGTCCAAATCCGCACGCGCAAAGCGGTTCTTCGTGGCGTCGCTGATAAAAAGGTGCGGGAGAGGTCTTGGGCGGTGGAGGCGGCGACCACCGACAATCAGCGGTGGGCGTACCTGGAGCTCTCTACCGTGCCGCTCGACCAGTTCATTGAGCAGGCCATTCATGACGTCCAGACGATGAAAAAGGTCATGTCGAGCGGGCCAATCTCCAATCCCTTCGCTGACCGCTGGATCAGCAGACCAAGCGGAAGTGGGTGTCGCAGCCGGCCGGTCAGGAGAACTGGCGTTATTCTGCGAGCAAAACTGCGGCTATGGGTGAGTGACTGTCGAATTGCCGCGTTGAGAAGCACCTGGGATTTCGAGTGATCCCTTCCTCCAGTGCGTACCACGCAAGCCAAGTGCGAAAGCATGAAAAGACCTGTAAAGGCAAAGCGTACGTTCCGCGTGCAAAGCAGTCGACGGCATCAAATGCGTTGAATAATGGTGTGAAACAACTGGCGCGACTTGCGGCCCTTGATGATCAGTACATCTCGCTCAAGTCCAACAGGAAGGGCTTCGCGCAGGCAGCCCGTGGTGCTGTCGGACTGCAGAAGACGCAGCGGCTCTTTCACCATCGCTTCGGGAGCAACGCCACGGTAGACATGCTTTCGAAAGATCAGCTGCTTTCGCGCTGCCGCAACATGATGCTACAGCAGAAGACAAAAAGTCGGAGACACCCTAAAAATTTTCACAAGAAGAGAGTGCACTGCGCGGCGGCTGTGGGGGTCTCAGACTTTTGCCCTCTGGCTGTACATGTATTCGCATTTTGTGATGCTTCACCAAATCACGCGCTCTGAGCTCTTCCCACGCGCATGAGAACAGTGCACATAACGCTTTATTGGAGCCTGGCGCGGCTCAAAGCGCCGAGGAATGGGAACGCATCGTCCCCGCCGCTAATTTGCCTGGGGACCAGAGCGAGGTGCGCTTTAGCGCAGCTGTCACACCGCCAACGACGATACCGCGTGCATCCACAAAGCTGCAGGTAAACGCGATAAAGTTTGAAAATGAACGCTGCCGGACACACGTCTCATGCCCTGTCGATGTGCGAAAGAAAGCGACAGTCACTGACCCGCGCTAGCAAGCGCCGAGGAAGTGCGGCGCCATACAGGTTCCGGCATAAAGTGGACTGTCATAGTCTAATTACATTACAATGCAATTTCTGAAACTTCCGGAGACGGATGGGGGATGATGTAGGAAAGGCTTGAGTTGAATTGTGAAAACGAGATCTAGTCGAGTCCTCACATCCAGAGATTATTGTAGGGTGTCGTGATTGTCATCAGTATTCTTCATCCCCGACGGTCCGCGAGGAAAGATAGAGCTAAATAACAAGCATTAATATTACGCTAGCGAAAGCAAATGCGACTCCTTTTCCTCCGAACGCACCTCGATTAGTTCTGCGGGAGTATAGTCGCTGACGGACGGCGTGTGCGAGGGCGGTGGCGGACCGTCACCTTCATCCTCTTGCTCGTGCGTATTTGGCGGAGGCAGACGGTCTGGATGTCGCGAGTAGTAGAGAACGAGAATCTGAGCTGCGGCCGATGTTCTAAGCACGCGCGCGAGAACAAAGAGGCAATCGTTAAACCGACGTTTTGCCGTCATAGCCAGTGTTTTGTAACAGGAACAACTCACCGGTGTGCCCGTATCGACGCCAAAATCAGTGCTTCGATCCGATCGCACTCGACCAAATGCCGGACAAACCCGCCAAGGTGCGGCGTCGTGAGCAGAATCTCGTATGCGCGGACGCCGTCGATTCGGTCATAAATGGCGCGAATGACCCATGTCTTGCCAATCCATGTGTCAGTCGCAGTCACCCCGCTGCTGCCGGGACGGACGGGAGACGCAGGAATGCCCGATCCGCTAGGGGAAGATTGATTGTGCTCGGCGCTACCAGACATGGCGTCAAGAGCTTGTATAAGCTCTGAGCTGTCTAGACGCGAGACACATTTCTGTAAAGATAATATTTCAGCATTCCGAGTCAGGAGTTCGTTTCAGGTGCTTCTCCCGCTCACCTTGATCGTGTCGGCCATGTCGGCGGTCGGCGGCAGCGCGGCAATGCCCCTGAGAGCATTCAGCAAATCGTCAAACGTTGCCGGCGTTTTCATTGCCATGCGGTCGAAATGCTCAACAAACGCGTCGACGTTAAGTTCGGGAAGGAATGGACACTTTTGTACCAGCGTCAAAACACGATCATACATAGCTAGCGTGGTGTCTACGCCAAAACCCCACGGTAAGCAAAGCAACGCGGAACATCGGGCAAAGGAATCGTTGCAAGACAAATTACCTTTGCGGTCTGCCAAAAGCTGCAAACATCCGAGCAAGACACCATTCCAGATCTTCGGCAGCGTTCGCATTTGAGCCAGCTGGGGCACAGAGGTCAGGTGCTCTAGCATGCCCAGCAGGTATCGGTACACCTTCCTATCCAGCAGCCTGTGCAGTGCGCTTTCCCATAACGTCAGGTCGTACACCGCATAGTCGAGGCAGATGTTGCAAATTAGCTGGACAACTTTTAGCTCGTCCTTGTGGTTTACCCATAGCGACCGCACAAACGCCTCTTTGTCGCAATTGACAAACTCGCGAGTGGAAATATTGATCCGCAACTCTTCACAGTCGGCGAGATACAGGAGGCTGCACATGTACTCGGTGAAGTCGCCGTACTTCCGCGCAAGATCCCGCGCACTCGCAAGCTGGAACAACACGCTAAGGGCACGGACGCGGTTCAGGGTCGATATCTGAGAGCTTTTTTGTTTGCTGACATATGCCACGAGAACGTCGGAAGCCTCGCCAACGGGAAGAGAGCGGAGGAGGTACAAGAGGCGCATCTGGATTGACACTTCTTCCCGCGAATTCAGCACGTTATTGATCTGCACGCGCATGGACGGCAGGTGCATTTCGCGCTCTTCGTCCGATATTGCCACCTCGGCGGCCAGCCATCGGTTGAGCGTAAATTGCCGGAACTCTTCAACGTCCACATCGCAGCGTTTCGCAATGTCGTTAATAACGCCGTGCAAGTCGAGATCGTTCTTGGGGTCCAGCGCCAGTTCGCTTTTGTACAGGTACAAGTTGTGCATAAGTCTCGTCATGTTGTCTTCCACCGAAATATACTGGAGCATGTCCTTCATGTTAAGCGAGCGCAGCTGATGCTCAGTCTCAGTGACGATGAGCTGGTTGCGAATACGTTGCGCGCCATGGGCAGGCTCTGTAAGCCGCTCCGCTCTCGCGAGCGCCATTTTGTACGCGCTAATGCGATCCGGACCGCAGGGAAAGCGCCGCCCAATCTCCATTAACGTCTCGACGGCCGTTTTGTCATCCGCGATGCTGGTCACAAGACGCTTGACATTGGCGAATCGCAGCTTGACGCCGTTCGGGCCCACCGGAGAATAGCCCTCCTCACCCTCCGCTGTGGTGAGCCCCTCCGCCATTTCCGATTGAGCGCAGAACACGTTTTCTATAGCCACAACATAGAACTGGTCGGGATGAAGGTTGAGGATCTTGCGCAGTGGGCGGAGACGAGGG